TGCCCATTTCTAACAGATCCAACACGTCGACGGTGAGAACTGACTGTTTGCTAACCGTCTAATATGTCCAAGACTTTGACATGATGTTCTTAGAAGATAATCCTTTGAACTTTATATTTCAAGAAGATCAAATAATGGACTACAGTTTGTTGTTTTGGTGATGTTAATGGTTTTACCGAGATTCTAAAGCATGCCTCCACTACAGTTACTAGGAACACTACCTATCAGAATGCATAGTGCCAACAGTAAAGTTTGGCTGAGGAGGCATAATGGTCTGGGGTCAGTTTGGGCCCCTTAGTTTCAGTGAAGGGTGATGTTAATGCTGCAGCGTACAAAGACATTTTAGACAATTATATGCTTCCAACTTTGTGTCAACAGTTTGGGGAAGACCCTTTCCTTTTCCAGACCCTTTCCCTGTGCAAAAAGTGGGCTCCATAAAAACATGGATGGATGATTTCAGTGTGGAGGACTCCAAGTGGCTGACCCCAACCTTCACTGTGTGCTAGCTAGCTTGCTCACTGCGTTTGCATAACAAACATGATTTCTTGTCAAAACAGAAACATTATTTTATTCACTCTCTGTTCATTTTTTGCAACATTTCATAGGCATTAACCCCATGACCAATCACTGTTTTCTCTAGAGTTGGCATAGCAACATGACCCATTGGTTGGGTCCAAGCATACTTTTTAATGAACATCCAAAGAATTAGTTTGTCCTCTGCTTTGTAATGTCCAAAAGCTATCAAGTCATTATTTAGTTAAAGCCTGTTCTTTAGGAGATATTAGTTTAAAGCATTGTTTTTCTAAAACTATTTGGTTTATGTTTTTTTTTTATTTCCTTCATCAAATGAAGAATAATGCGACAGGTGTTTTTTATCAAGAATAAGTATATGTATATATGAATACTCGCTCTTTCCTCAATGTCAGCCATGTCAGCACTAAAACACGTTTTTTACAGGAGTTACTGTAAGTCTTGGTAAAACCAAGCCTCGGTCAGAGTAGATGGTTTTATTACCATCCTCCTCCCAGTATTTTGTGCTTTGAGAGGGAAACTCCTGTAACTGCATATGTATTCAGGCAAAAATGAAACAGAGCAGTGACTGACTTCTTTTGTATCACTATTTTATATTATTAAGGCTAGTTGCATGTTGTCAAATGTAAATCATAACATGGAGTCACTTTTTAATGTCAAAATACAGTTTACAACAGTGTAAAACATTAGTAACAAAACTATGGGAGCATCTCACTGGTAACAGATCAATAAGCTATGAATAGACCTGCTCTGCACTTTATCAGTCAATCTCATGCCCAGAACACTCAGTTCTGCCTGAGAGCTGAGAGAAGTTAGATGTGTTTGTGGTCTCACTTCTATTCTAGTATAACAGCAGCAATGACATCATCAACTAATGAAGAACTAAAACTCAATATTTATAGCAGACTGTTCTGATGATAGACTACTAATCAATATGTTTATTATCATACAGGGTATGTATTGCCCAGGTATAGAGTAGTGCTCCAATATGCTGGATAATTTTATTTACAATGTCATTTTAATAAAAATAGAGAAACAGTAAAACAGAGGAGAAGAAAGGAAATCAACCCTTAAATGGCCCCAGCAATACAAGTCCTCACCTGAGAGAGAGACAGTGGTCAGTGTAAGATCATATCAACACTGGAGACACACACAGACAGCAGCACTCAGCCAGTCGCACTACGCTTTAAATAGTACATATTTTCCACCCATCTTGTGGTGAAGTGCTAGAAAAGCCAGAAACCACAACTGCACACCTGTGACCTATGATCCCTCAGATGGCACTGCATTAAAAACAGCCATGTCTCTGTGATGGAAATCACAACATGGGCTGGAGAACTCTTTGACTAACCATTGTCAATAAACACTTTTCATCACTGCATCTGCAAATGCAAGTTAAGACTGAACCGAAGCCATATGTTCAATACTGTATTATGTCAACACTGTCCAGTAATGTAGCTGACTTCTCTGGGCTCAAGATCATCTTAAATGGACTGATACACAATGGAAACATTTTGTATTCTGCAAAATTTTCAAGAAAGTACTAATGTTATTCATTTATTTTTTAAAAATGTCTTTGTTCATGCTTATGAATACATACGTTTTTGACAAATTGTATCAGTACAGTGTCAAAAGACATTACATATGTGAATTTCAGGTGGATATAAGCACTGGAAGTAAAACAAAAGTGTCTGAAATTATTTCCATAAATGTGATTGTTCAGTGAAGGCAGAAAACTATATCAAGAATCTGGACGTCATTTTTGACAGTGAGCTCAGTTTGTATACATGCTCCTCCTGCAGTGTGCAGTTTTTACTGTAGGCCTCATTCTGTTGAATAGTAGAAGAAGGTTGTTGTTTGTTGTGGATCTTTGGAAAATGGGATGTTACTGAAAAGTGATGTCAGTTCTGAACTGTCCAATAAAGTGAAAGCAGAACAAAAATCCTCCTAAACTCATGTGAGCAGATGGTGCTGAATTGCCCCCTACAGGTTCTGAAGGGCAGTTACTAGAATCTAGACACTAAATCAAGATCTTCACCTGAATCAGTCACTCAGAATAGACACAGTCAACACTACTTATTATACAAATGATTTATTCTATGTTTATTGAAAAATTGACAAAAAAGTATTGCCAGGCATCCATATCAGCTCGACTTAGACTGTAACAAACTGCATCACGTTCCATGTTTTCTTTCTTCTGTTCATTCACTCATTCATTCATTCATTCATTCGTTCATTCGTTCATTCATTCATTCATTCATTCATTCATTCATTCGTTCATTCATTCATTCGTTTGTTTGTTTGACAGGGACACAGGAGATAAACACTGTCACATACAATGCAACACATTTATTTTAGCTACTTTTCCTCTCAGAAGTGAATCTGTTCAGTCAGACAGACGAATAAAAGACTACTTTTATTTGCACACAGCACAGATGAACAGTTAGATGTTTAGCTGTTATTTAAAGCCTCTTTTTCTGACCTGTCAGATTGAGTAATCTCTAATTGGGTGTTAAAGCACATGATCATATATATAATGTAAAATCCTGGTATTCACTCAGCAAGATGCTCCAGCTTCCATCACTGCTTATGTTCTGTTCTCCTCATCAGGTTCAGCTGTGAAAAACACAATGATCAACATTTTACATTAGTCTTATATCAGATTTTATATAGTTGTAATAACATTTTTTGTTAAAGCAGCAGACCTCTGACTGAGAGCCAGCTCTTTGGTGACTCTTCTTTCTCTGGGTGTTTACAGTGGTAGAGACCTTCATCTGACTTTGAGACAGTACGGATGATCATCTCTCCTGTAGTCTGGGTCTGGAGCAGTGATCCATCTTTATAGAAATCAGCTGTGAGGTTTGAGGGCTTTGTGGAGTGAAATAAACAGCGGAGAGTCAGAGAATCTCGATCAGACACAGGATGGACAGGACTGTCCAGAATCACATCACCATCTGGAGAGAGAAAACAGAAAGTGTGGAGAACTCAGTAATGATCTGAACGCAGAGACCCCCATCATCAGTGAATATTAGAGACAGTGTAGTAAAGGAGAATGAACACAGACTGTTCTTGGCTGGGTGGTGAGCTATTTTCATGTATTTAAAAAAATAAATGTAAAAAAATAAAATTTTGGTTAAGATTGGCTACAATTTAGCATTATAATGTTTCACACTTGGTTTCCATGTTCTGTGAATCATCTTTACAAATTTCCAAATGCACACACACATTTTTTCAGTGTGTTTTTGTTTTTTGCATCAATCTTGCTTTGTGCTTTTGGGTTATAAATAATCTCCATAATCAAATTTATATCTTTTAATAAAATATATATCTCTTACCCCTCAATATATGCTTTAATTTGTCTTTTGTGTCTCTGTGAAGTCTGTGGTATGTTTGTGTGGTGATTGGTATCTTCATCGACATCATGGTGTTTGGAGGATGGTTGTTCTTGAGAAGATGTTTTGACTAACAGAAGCCTTTAACTTTAAGTCATGGTTCTATATGGAATCACTGTCTTTTCAATTTGAATATAATCGGAATGACTGAAATAATTTAAATTGTATCTTTTCTATCTTAGTTCCAGCATCACTTTGAGAGAGTAATGGAGACTCACTGTACACTGTGATGTTGAGAGGATCACTTCCTCCTCCAGATTCAGACTGACACCAGTAAACTCCAGTGAGGGATGTGTAGAGGGAGCTGATGTTGCATGTAGATCCTGTAACTGATGAACAATCTGACACCTCCCCACTGTGTGTGTATCGCCTCACTCTCCATCCAGTAGAGTCCCTCTGTCCCTCACAGCTCAGTGAGAGAGAGCCAGCACTAAAGTGTTGAGTTCTGCTGGGACTGATGATCAGAGAGGCTGGAGGAGATGAACCTGAACATGCACACAAGATACACATGTAGCATGTTGATCAATACTAACATAACTGAAGCTAAACAAATACACTGTTTACTAAAATAATGGGTGAGATAAATACAACATATATATACTAATTAATATCTGTATCTCCTCACCAGTGATCCATAGTGTCTGTGGAGTGCTGTACTGTGTCTGATAGGCTGGTTCTCCTCTCTCTGCTCTGCACACATAAACTCCTGTGTGATTTAGAGCAGCAGGACTGAGAGTGTAGGAGCCTCCAGCTTCTCTTCTGCTGTCTGACAGGAGCTCTACATGATACAGAACATTGCCATGAACGTATCTTATTTGTTGTCAGCCTTGTCTGTAGAGAACAGCTCTGTACCAGCTGAATGTCCAGCCTGTAGAGGAGCCTGTAACCTCACAGCTTAGAGTCACTGAGTCTCCTTCAGTCAGCCAGCTCTGTGGAGACACACTCAATACTGCCTGAGCTACATCTGACAGAGAGAACATGGAGATTATAATAGACTAAATCAAGTTTATACACAGTGATAAGATCATTACATACAGTATAATTAATGAGAATATTAAAACAAATCCACAGACTCACCAGACACAGTCAGTGTAACAGCATCACTGATCTCTGAGCTCTGAGAGTCATGTTTTCTTTCTCCTCTGCAGGTGTATTTACCAGCGTTAGACTCTGTAACAGAGCTGATTGTGAACTCCTGTGTTCTTCTGTTTGGGGACAAACGGTCATCTTTATACCAGCTGTAAGTCCACTCAGTGTCTCCTCCTGCCTGTATGTCACATCGCAGAGTGACCGCCTCTCCTTTAAACACCTGTTTATCAGGCTTTATGGACACCACAGCTTTAGTGCTGTCTGTAAGAAAACCACAGTTCCCAACACTGTTAATAAAATCAATGTTCTGATATTGAATTAATAATTGTGGATATGTTTTGAAATACAGCATTGTGCAGTTGCCTCCGGTTTTCAGGAGGTTTGCTTTCAGGTTTACAAAGAAATCTGCAGATATATTTCTCCACACTCACAAAGTTCAGAGTTGGTTGCATTTTCTGATTCTCTCAATCTAATTAATCCCAAACACAGTCAAAGGTGTGGAGGTCAGGACTCAGAGCTGGCTATAGTCCATTGTTCTGAGAACACTTGCAGTGTCTCTGTTTGATAAGCTTGTATTTGTCTTGTATTTGTGCTGGCGTTGTTCTCTTGCTGTGGAATTAATTTCTTTCCAATCAAACATTTTTCTGATGGTGTTTTCCGATGTATTCAAATTTCAGAATTGTGATCTGATTCTCCACCATGCTTGACTGATGGAGAAAAATAATTTTAGCCAATATTATATTTCACCCCCCCCCTCCACCCACCCACATCTATCACTAAGTGAAACACTCAACCAGCTCAGAGATCTCACTCTTACTGATTCTGTCTTTCACTTGGAGGATTTCAGGGTGTGGTCACACTTCTTTGATTTAAATAACCTTATAACCTTCTGGTGTAATTGCTATGTTAGTGTGGTTTTTTGGAGAACTGCCATGATGCAGGCCCTCTGTGGAGTTCTTTTTCAGTCCACTTCTAATCAAACTGTGGTGCAGTTTGTTTAAAATATGGATGCAAAACAGATCAAACACTAGATGAACCACCACCTTGTCTCTGCAGATCTTCTTTGGTACGTACAACAGAATTTTTCTGATGCTGTGTTGATACATGGACGTATTTCATCATCTCTTCACAAGCTCTTGAATCAGACATTATAGAACATTAAAGAACATTATAGAGTTAGAAGCACATTTACCACCATAAAAATACTCCATATACACACATATGACCACACACATGAATCATATTGTAAATTAATAAACCAATGGGAAACCTTTAATAATGCTCAGCCTCCTGTAGTAGATTTCTTTAGAATATCACAAGACGTGTTTAAGAAAGTTTGTTGGATATTATTGGAAATATTTCACCAGATTTATTCATAAAATCTGCCCAATTAGTGATTTTTCTTTACATTTTATGGTTTAGTGTTAAATATGTCAATGTGAACAGTAAGTGAAGCAGAACTAACATGTAACAATGTGTCAGTTTTTGCTCAGGTGTGAACCAACTGAACCAAACTGCTATGTAAACTGACCCTCAGATTTAAGGGGCTTTAAAGTGCATGTAAATGTAATAAAACTTGTTTGCTCCTAACTGTGCTGTTACCATTCAGCACTATAAAGTATCATTCAGTGAAAATCTGTAATGTGAACAATGACATCATGCTAAATTATTTGTCTTTTTTTCATTAGAATTTTTTTGATACATCTAACATTATCTGTTATACTGCACTATAATAAGGCGATACATGTAACTGACACATCAGACCGCTGATGCACATCCTCACTCTGCTTTCTCACTGTGGACGACCTTTATGCAAATCATCTAAGTGGCATCCCACCAGATTGTTGATATGTGGCTCAGTTATCGATTGTGACACGCTCAGCCGCATGGTGAAAACGTACAATGAGCGGGAGATAAAACAGTTGACAAAACGTTTTTATGTTAGATGGTTTTTAAGAGTTAAAAAACAGTATTAGGCTGTATTTGGGTTCAGAACTGGCCTCTATCTCTACACACACTTTCTTTTTTTGCACCACAACCTGCGTGTCTTTAAGCGACATGCCCTCAAAATATGGTGTTAATTTTGTACCAAAAACTTCAAATAAAATACTAAAATCCACAAGCAAAATATTAAGTATCAAAGTGTCCAAAAATGGTAAGAGTTAAATCAAACTTATTTGTTCAAAAAGATTACTACTCATTTTCACTCATTCTGATATAAACATATTACTCATTTTGCCAGTTTTTGCTTTCATTCCGATTTTACGGATCTATTTTTTGCTGCTGGAATCGCTGTTTTTTTGCTTCTGAAATTTTTCTTTTGCTTCTGACTTTAACTTCTAACAATAACTGTTATTTTGGGCATTAAAGTACAAACTTAGTAGTTTATGAATTAACAAAGCTGTACTACCTTTTGAATTTGCACTATTTAGCGTAGCAGTGTCATCTAAGGCTAACAAGAAAAGACAGAACAGCCATAACTCCCAGTATGGGACAAACAACCATGTCGGCTTGATTCCCTTTTGTAATGATTAAACATTACCGTCTATCAACTGTCTTATGGCAGCAACTCATAGCCAGCAGTAATCAGCGGTATTTTCCACTCTTTACTGTGTTTTGCCAGTGCTGTGTTATCTCCCTCGACCCACAGCACTGCAGCACAACTGACCAGCTCATGGAGGGCTCATTAATCAGTTGATGAGCTGCATCAGGTGTTTTAAGGTAAGGAACAGTTAAGACCGTGTGGAGCTGCAGGTTACCAGAAGCAGGACTAATAAACACTGATTTAAATAGCTGCAAAGTTGCTTAGTTAGCCCTTTAGCAGACACTGCTAGGCCAGTTAGCACTAGCATCTACAAACCCAAAAGGTGGTACAGCTTTGCTTAACAGTTTACCTAATATACTCCAATTAATATATATTTTACCCAGGTCGACACAGGACCGTGAGTGTGTGTTACATTAATAAATATAAAAAACATTGCTCATAACGTTGGACATATCAGTGCAATACTATGCTCAGTACAAAGTGCTCCACATGTTCTGGCAGGTCACAGCTCTCAGAGTGGGTGTGGCCACATGTTCAGAAGACCTGTCACTCCAAATCAGTTGACCAATAGAAAGTGCAGGTAACCGTCCTCCTCTAAGACCCACCCCCACGAAAAATGCCAAAAGTCAGAAGCAAAAAGCAAAATTTTAGAAGGAAGAAAGTGATTCTAGAAGAAAATGAAATATATAAGACAAATCTGCATACAGAAAAAAAGACTGCCAAAATTAGTAATACATTTAGGTCAGAATGAGGGAAAATATATAGTAATCTTTTTTGCAAATTTAGGTTTTGATTTAACTCTCATTATTTGTATTTGCAGCACATTTTGGACACTTTGATACTTAATATTTTGCTTGTAGATTTTATTATTGTATCTGAAACTTCTGGCACAAAATTACCTCCATACCAAAGTGCCTAACTGTTGTTTAAGGATGCAATTTGGCTCTCTGTAATGAAAAAGCACCCAAACATGTCATACTTTATATTGTTTTGTTAAAGTTTGCTGAAAGATCTTGTGTATGCATTCTCCTTAGCATCTAACATTGCTCTGACTAGCTTTACTGTTAGCTTTAGCTCATCTGAAATGGCAGCTTTTTTAAACCCTAAATGTTTTCAGAGCTTCTCTTCACTGTGATTCTAAATTTTGTTTTGTACTACTGAACTTTTTATTACGTTACAAGGCAGCCTGAGCTGAAAGTTTGATGGACATAGAAATAATAACCAAAGAAGATGAGACTTTCCCGGAATTTGGCAATTCATCAGTTAGAGCAGACCATAAGAATTTCTCTTATACATGATTTTCAAGTGGTCTATCATTAAATACATGTACTTGCAAATAAAAAAAAGAAGCCATTGGAGCTCAGAACACTATTCTCATATTTCTAACTCAACTGCAAATTAAAAATATCTCAATGACTCTAAAGATCTGTAACTTAATGATCATTATCCAAAGACAGATTTGAAAAAGTCCTAACTCTATAATTTAAATGGAGTGAAAAGCTAGCAAACTCAGGACTGTGGGGACACGTTGCAGTCACTTTGTTAGAAAATCACAGCCTGTTCTATTTTGCACAGTGCGCATGTTTACAGCCTACTTTCTGGCTGTTTTGATTGGAAATTAAATAAATGAAGGGTGGTCTCAGAACTCATTGAGGCCTCTGGGATATTATGTGCATTTTAAAGAGAATTTTGCCAATGTGTTCAGTACAGCATGATGTTTTTACAGTTGTAATGCACTTTAAACTCTTAATGGGAGAAATGAAGTGAGATAGACGCCACACTCACCTGATACAGTCAGTGTAACAGCTTCACTGGTGTGTGTGTATATTCGGCCTGTTGACTGTGTTCCCTTACAGGTATAAACACCTGCATGAGACTGATCAACATTAGAGATTTCATATTTCTTCCTTTTAGCATCTCTGAGAAGATTATTATTCTTATACCATTCATAATTCCAGTAATCTCCACTTTCTACTTCACATGTCAGAGTGACTCTCTCTCTGATGAACACATGATCAGCTGGCTGGACTTTCACTGTAGCTTTTGGTCTCTCTGTTCAAAGATGACAAACACTTTTGAATACAATCTCTGAACATGCAGGACAGTATTTAACAACATCAACACTATTCGTTTACAGAGAGAATTTTATTCCAGAAACACACAAACATGCTTCTCCCCATGCAAAATGTAGGAGGATCATGCAAAAATGGAAATGGAACTGATTACACATCCTGCTGGTTTTACTAAAGCGTGAGGAAGCCTGCAGCAGCTGGTTTTCTGTGAATTTGTCTCCACCATTTTAAACCAGGTGTAAATTTACCTTACAGTCTCAAAAAACATATTGCTAAGAGCAAATACAGACTAGACCAGAGGTCTTCAAATTTGGAATTCAGATTACAGTCCTGGTTATCAGTCCTGTGTCCCTGCCACAGATATCTAGGTATTAAAATATGACAAATAGCATAAGGGGTCAGCCATGTCAGCTCACTGAGGGCCTGGCAGGTCATGCCATGTATTTTCATGGAAAAGAGTTTTTGTCATATTTGACAGCTGTACTCTAAATAATTCCTTTTTTGCATTTCAGCTTTCGAATTGCTTTTTAAATACTTATTATGATTGATTATTGATTGTTGATGATATTTTAACCAGGTACAAAAACAACACCAGTAATAATATTTAACATTATATCAAGATATTTAAAGTTAATAACATAGTT